GTTGTTGATTTTATCTTTGCTCTATGCAAAACTTGAAACTAAGTTAAACATGGTTCTTTTTGAATATATGATTTAAAAAAAAAGAGTTTTATGTTTTTCAAGTTGGATTGCACTATAAAAGTATAATTTGAACACTAAAATGTTATTAATGGAATAACATATGGAAGTTTTATTAAATGTATTTTAGTAAATTCATAAATTAGACTACACAATAAAACATAATTTAACTTGAAAAACACTATTTTATTTCATAAAACTGTTATACAATTTGAGATGTGCAATTTAAACCATTAAATGAAGATGAATTTTTTAATATTAGGGGTTATTCTTCTCGTCCAATCGTTTTTGTTTTCTAATTTAGTGTAATATAAATAGTAAAACATATCATTTTTTTAAATTTTAAAATTATGTTTCAAACTTCCAAAGGGTTAAAAATCGGATTGTATCAATGTAATAGGCCACCAAACATGCAATCAATTAGATTAAAAATGTGGACAAAACACAGGTTTTGCTTGTGGAAACCACAACAGAAGTTTTGCTGACCACCTACTCTACAAATTACTTTCTCGGGTTCATAATCAGTGTCCTGTGAATTTTTTACACTAACTTTACATAATATTTTCATATATCATTACAAAAATTAAACTTTCGTATTTTTAATTTTTTAATGTAGTTTTATTCAATAAAAATATTTCACAACCATCCATAATGTAGAAATTACACTTGAAAATGTGGACAATTAGCCTCTTGTCATTTTATATACTATATAGTATATACAATATATAATCTGAAATTTCATGAAAGAAAAGGTCAAGTAGCACTTACTATGAAAATGAAGATTCAAATTCTTTTACAATCATTTTCAATGGATCACATTCACCACAACATATTCAAAAAAAAAAAAAAAGTAACCAATTTTAAAGAAAGAAGGAGAATGAAGAAAGACCATTGATAATTTTATTGCAAAGAGAAAAGAAATTGCTATTTTGCTATTATAATCCAAACTATCTATAGCTGAAAGTACTTTCATTTCAAAATCTTATAACATACAAAAATGATTCTGATTTTCAAGAATGGTCTTAATAAGGACATGTACATGATGCTGAAGAGAATTATTTTACATAAAAAAAAAATCCAGCAAAAATAATTCGAGCTCAAAACCTTGGCAATTTGCATCTGTTGCTAATGACAACAAATCTTTCAATGCAGAAACCCAGCAAACATATAGATCTTTAGTTATCTTCAGTTATGGCTTCTTCGTCTGCATCCACAATAGCCATATCTCAGTGTTTAGTTGATAATATAAAAGTCAAGTACCATTACAGCATACGCGCAAAATTTTAGTTCTTAAATCATTTGTTCATAATGCACTCTGTGCTCTGTTTGATTTAGATGCTAGCGAACAACTGATAATTGTCTTCTCTAATGAGACAAATAAGGGTGTTTGAATTATAGATAACAATAAGTATTAATCTTTGGATATTGCCTATCAGCTATCAACAAGGCTGAACTTAAGTACATGCTTCAAGAGAAAGTTGGGGGATGGTTATCACTGATAAAGAGAATGATTACCTTATTCAGGTACTTCTTTTGAAGCTTCAATGCCTCCTCGCATGCCTTTTTAGCATCTAAATTTCCGGTAATGTCACCCAATATCTGGAGGAAGACTTCCAAAATTAGATAAAATGCAGGTGCATCCATGCAAAGATATTCATATAGTTCTTGATGAACATGGAACTGAGACAGAGAGAGAAGCAACCTTTACAACATCATCAAGACCCTTGGCCTCCTTCATAAGTTTCTTATTCTTGGTCTCAAGAACACCAGCAGCAAGAAAAATGGCTAGGGCAGCACCCTGGTGATTAGATGTATTTCTGGCCTTCACATTTGTTCTTTCAAATTTTCCGTACTGTTTCAGCTGCTTGTCGTTCATTTTAGGTGCAGAGCTGCTTTCTAAACTTGAACTAGGCTCCTCATATGTTGAAAAGATATTAGGGTTGTACTCCATGGCCCATATAAGCTGAAAATCAATCAATAAGCTTGTAATGAGAAGACCAAAAGTGAAACATCCAATAAACTGATGACTAATTGGGACATTGGATTCTGTCAAGGATCTGGAAAATAGTAGCTCCCAATAACATAATAGATCCCATCACTAGAACGAAACTCAAACAAGGAATGTACTGTCCTCTGACCTCCCATAGATACAAAGAATCAACAAAGGAAAACTCTCGCCGGAAAAGTACCATCAGCATACGAAATGCAAACAAATACTCCCCACCATCTAGATCCTCTGCCAAACAAATGGAATCAAAATCTTTAGTTGAACAACAAAGCATAAATAATAGACGAAAGTAGAGTTGAGGGAAGAAAATAAGAATACAGGGGGATGGGAAAGTGTGTTAGGCAGACTTGTAAAACAAAATAAAAATCTGTTATGTGATGTTTTTTGGTTGTTACTTATGCCTATAGCAGGCACTGAGCACCTTTGTCTTTTGTTCTTCTCTAGATTCTCATCTAGATTGGGAATGGAGGATTCTGGTCAAATTTGTTAATCTGCAATCTGATTTCAGGATGATCTTAGTAGGGAATTAATTTGTTCAGATATGCTTAGGCTCCTTTCAGATTTCATTATCAAAATCAAATCAACATCCTTTAGTTAAATATTTCACCAATTAGTTCTCTTTCTGTTAGGACCATCCTGAAAATGTCAAACAAAGCGCTAAGGATGAAGAAAGAAAGTGAGAAATGAGGAACAATTAATTCAAGGCATCGGAAACTGGAACGATGAGATGTAATATAAGGATAAAAATGTATTTTAGTTCATTGAAAGAATCATCATATTGGAAATTTAACAACTGAGCCAGATAACATGCAGAAATTGTATGGTAATTCCGTCATGCACACTTGACTGCAAAGTGCAATCATAATATGTCTCATTATTGATCATTACAGAATGTCAACTTCATCTAGAAACCAAAATGATGGAACTCAGCCTGTCAAATTAGTCTATTCAGGCAAATAAATTAAATTACAATGTTTTCAGATTGGTGGATCACCGTACTGAGGTACCCCTGTTTCAAAATTGGTGCCTGTATGTTACTTCTATTTCTTTAAAACTTTAACAACTTATTTTTTTTAATAGCTTTCATCTGGTCACATAAATTTTCAAAATTAATTATGATGTAAAACAATAAGGTCTAATGTGAAAGACTAAATTGTAACAAAAATATAAACCAAGAGAAACATAAGCTTTGTAAACAATGGGGAAAATAGCACATACCGAGATGTCGGTGAAGCTTAGGATCAACAGTTTTAATTACTTGTGAGAGAACATTAAGCTGAGTTTGCACCCCTATTGAACTTGAACTGCACCTAAAATTTTCTCTCTGTTATGTGAAAACAGAAGCCAAAGATCTGTCATAATCTACCAGATGCCAATACTAAGCATTAGAATGTCACAGATTCTGGAGATCCAAAAATCTAAGGAAACTACTACCCTGAAATAATGTAAATATTGTTAAATTGGTTGCATGAATATAAAGTTGAAGACTATCATGTGGAAACAGAAAATACAGTAGTTTAAAATAACCATGTGTGGCATATTCTTTTAATCACCAAATGGAAGACATAAGCACCGAGATCACCATGTCCAAATCATTGGACCATTCCCCCTTGCATGTAGAAGAAGAATACAATAAGGTGCCTGATATTTAAAATCACAACTCTAGTTCAAAACTTAGTTATAAGCCAGTTATGAATTGTGTTTCTTATCCATTTTGCTCTACCTAGGGTCAAAATTTCTTTACAAGAGTCAAGAATCCATCTAAACCATTTGGATAAATTAAATGACATAATATTTCTAATGGTGGAAATTCCACCGAATCATATTCAGAGCCATTGAAGTTGTTGATATCAGCAGACTGAAGTATTACTATGTAAAAATCTCTGCAACAGCCTCCAAGTATCTCTACCATCTTAAACCTCTATGTATGGCCCTGAGTCCCTGACTTCCTAAAGCAGTCACCAATTCCCAGAGTACAGGAAAGAATCATCTCGGCCAACATTCCAAAGAGTGTTTATAAAGCTCTAGAGTCTTGTCAATTATCTTTCTATACATATCATTTTATTGCCAATTTAGTTTAGGTGTTATCACAAAGATGAGTTTCATATCAATTCTGAAGTCAATCTTAAATCAAACTTCAGCTGCTTTCAACGTTTCTCATTCATGTTCTCTTCAAGGTGCAGATAGTTTTTCTACAAATACTCAAACATTTAAAATGTAGTTAGTTTGAAAACAGAAGAGATTCATCAAAGAGCAAGCCAGTCATATGTGGCAAAGATGAAGCAACTACATGCAATTTTTATTATTTCCATGGTAAGTTAACCAATCAGGAATAACCACTTGAACAAAATCATTATCCATAGATCACATAAACTAATCCATGGGGAGGAACTAGAAGATGTTAGGTATTAACTTACTACATCAATTATTTCAAACAACAAACTAATGAGGAATTAAAGCATACCATTCTCCGCATTGCATGTTCAAAACACCAATATGCATCTGCTTCATTTTCTAGAAGAATTACCATTGGAGAGCAGATATCATTCATTCCTGCTCAAGAAAGAACCTCAAATAAAATGTTCAAGCTCAGACATATTTTGGTTTGGCAGTAAGCACGTCATCAAAAATGACTCACCCTGAACATAACCAATATCGCTGTCCACCCACGAATAAATAGCAAGAATATCCCAAAGTTTTGCCTGATTAGCTCCATTCTCATAAAAGGTAAGTGCTCGATCTGTGCGAACAACATCTAGACCTACAATCCAAATTTCTTGTGTACATTAAGAACTGTTAAAAATTCAAGGACAGCATTAATAATTAACTGGATTAATATAAAACCATAAGCAAATCCATATGTAGTAGCAAGCATTCTTTATGGTCCCTCTTTCCCCTAATCAGAGTCCACTTTAGAAATGGCAGACAACTGAAGGGATGAAATAAGTTAATGTTAAGGTTTCCTTTTTGTGTAATGAAACATTGAATATGGGACAGCCAAGAATAGAAAGGAAAAGGAATATGACTGTGATGGAAGAGTAATGTTCTCTTTGTTGTGATTGGCATAATCTGGTTTGGAGCTCACTTATAATTAAATATACATGACAAACATTTGCAAGCATTGGAAGTGTTAATGATAGTATCACTAACATTATGAATCACAAAACAGGTTAGCATGGGGACCTTGGACTGCATCCTAGGGTCATGCAAGTTCAATGATGTAAAATCAAGCATATTGCCATTGGTATTGAGAAGAAGTAAAAATGTGAAGAAACTGCCATCAGAATCAACAGTGAGAGAATGAGAATCAAAACTATGGAGAATGAAATTATGCACCATATACCGATTTGGTGCAAGGAAAGCATCCAAGTTGCCACTTTCTTGTCTGAGACAGCACTTGTTACATGCCAGCTATCACCTTGTTTGTCATCTTCTATTGGTTGACCATCATCAGTAATGACAGCTGATGTAATGACCTTTCCGCTACCAATAACAGGAACCATATTCTGACATTCAGTTTTCCACATACCATATCGCTCCCTAAAACAATAAGTGTTTGAACTGAGTGAAAATATCCAACTAAGCATGAAATATGGATGATGAGGAGAAAAAGAAAAAAGAAAAAAGAAAAAAAAAAGACATCACAGAAAAAGGAAAACAAAAAAAAGAGAGAAAAAAGGGAAAAACTAATTCTCACTACAATCAACTAAATCAAAGGTGATGCAGCTGGCTGTAAAAATGCCATTGATATAAGCTGAAAAGGAAGATGATTAATCCCTCATGTCACCAAAATATATACACAAGCTACTATTTTATGGGAAATCCTGAACCTCTACTTGTTAATGGTTCCACAAATGTAACTCTTAATCAGATCAGAGCATTTTGATTACAACTAAAATTTATGTTAGAAGGAAGGAAAGGACAAATATAGATGAAGGAGAATTCATTTTCTCATAAGGCTTTATTTTCCAGTACAATGAGTTCAAAATCACAATGAGAAGGGAGATATTACCTTCTACTTTGCCTAAGCTGATTCCGTTCTTCAAAGGTACTGTTTGGGTCAAAGCAGCCTAACAAGAACTCCCAGACTAACCCTTTAATTGAAGGGTGAATACCCTAGCATAATAAATCAAGAATGGAAGAATGAGACTCAGGTCATGCATGCTGCAAAACATATTGCATACCTAGTAAATGTGGTCAAGCAACATAATTATAAGTAAAACTAGAAACTTACCCCTCGTTGGATCCGTCTAAGCACTTTTGCTATATCCAGATGACCATCTTCTGAGAATGCAGCATGCCATCTCCTAGCACTGAGAGTTTTCCCTGCCTATAAAAATGAAGCTTCAAACACTAATAACAATTTGCTTTCTGAAAAGGGCCGCAAAGCAGTAATCATGGTAAAACTATGGAAGAGTATACAAGTGTGTGACAATAATATCCATCTCTTCAAGTAAAAGGGAAGACAAATTGAATCCCTTGTAATTCCAATAAGTAGCTAAATACATACTATAGCATAAAGAACATCATGAACTCTACCGTCTTCCTTGAATTCATAACAAATGTTCATTAAGTTGATAATTGAACAGAACAGTGATAAGAAATATGCATACCCTAGGCTTAAAGCGGGTCTTTGGGATGTCCGGCAGGCATTCAGGTCTGACAGGATAGAAGGCCTCCAAGTCATCAGGCTCAGATTTTGAAAATAGCAATCCTGCCACTCCCGCACACCCAACCATACCATCCAAATCAAGAAATCAATCCCTTGCTCAAACCATATTAAAGATCCATAGAATGCTAATATCATATATACAGTGCACCCTTTTCACATTGGAAACAACAAAATAAACCCACAAAAGGATTCTAATTTCTACCATGAAAACCCAAAACCAAAAAGATCCCAATCATTTTTCAACATAAAACTATCTGGGTATTCTTAAACAATGCACCCTTTTCCCATTTGAATATCAAAAACAGGGTTCATACACACACAGAAAAAAAAAAAAAAAAACCATAAATTTGAATTCGTGTATTGAAATTATCTGCAACTTACTCTAAAGAAGTTGAATTTAATAATAATAATAATAAAAAGCTTCCTTTTTCCCTCGAACGAATTGGGGATGCTACGGAAATTCTTCCATCAGAGCTTTTCTCCGGAGACAACAAGAAAGCGGAATGCGGGTTCGGCACTATCAGAGAGACAGAAGGCCATACGGTGAATGAAGAGGAATTGTAGTGCCAGGACGCGACAAAATGATGGTTATTGCAAAAGGTAACTTGTTTGAAAATGGTTTGAAAATGGTCATTGTCTTTAAGCTTCCTAATCGGATTTATTTATGGAGTCTTAGAAAATCCCATGGGATAAGAGAAGAAAATGACTCATTTTCGCACCGACCCTAATTTTGACAACCTT